TTGAAACGAAGAACGTTTCACAATAATAATTTAGCAAAACTGATATTAATTATAAGAAGAGAAACGCTGATTCGATCAGCGTAGTGACGCCGCGGCCGCGCTGGCCACCAACGGTCAAAACGGGGGCAGTGCGCGACGTGAGTGACGGTTAGTCAGTAGCGAACCGGGAGCCAGAGCGAGCGCGCGGGTGTAGTAACGAACTGGAAGCACGAGCGCCGGGTGTAAATATTGCGAGAGGGGGCCGCTGCGCCGGGTGAAGAATACAGACGGAGAAGCCCGGGCGCCAATGCGGATGGGCTGCGCTGCCCTCAAAACAATGTGTGGTGAAATTACCAACAGTGTGGAACTGATTATAAGCTATCGAGTGGGGAAGATTAGGGGGTGCTAAATATAGAGTATAGAGTGATTAGGAAGAAACAGTAGTGCGAACCAGGACCGGATTCGTTGAAAAACATTAACAGTGAATTTAAGTGATCGGATAGACACGCATTCCATGTCCGCCTGGATGTAATGCAGTAACGGGCCGCACTGTGCGAACAATCGAGTGGGGATTGGAGGAGAGCGGCTTGTGATCGGGGCTGCCGACGGAGCGCCGCTGCGTGTTGGGGCCAGTACCGGAGCCAACCGCCGAAATCGGCTTCCTGACAACTTCGGAACGGAGGGGAGTTTTGCGTAGAGCGCGGCGCGCCGCGTGTGCCAGAGGCGGCCAACGCTTCGGCCTTCCAGTTCAGCTAGTGGCGTACTGTAGTCGGCAAGCTTCGAAAGGTCTGTTGTAAGCTCGTGGCGTGCACGAACTATTAAAAGGCACCTTGCGCACTTGCGAATTGTAATGGCACTTAGTAATGTTATATGAGAGCGGTCAATTATTAAACCTCCAATTGCACAAATGAGTTCCCTTGATTATCTTCGAACTGCAGCGTATTCACCTGGGAGACTCATTCACGAAAATGTACCCGTCCTTTATATGATTTATTTGTCGTGAAAGTACCGTTTCCCAGGTACGTCACAGCTGGCGCCCGAACAGTATTGGACTCGTGTATTTAAGAAATGTGGCTCCAGGGAATTGGACAAAACATTGGAAGTTTTATGATGTGCATAAATTGGATTGAGGTATAAATATTAATGTATATAGAGGGTATATTTGTTAGTATTTGGAATGATTTGTAAGCAGTTAGATATAATTTAATGTTTAAAGGGCATGTTTGAATGTATGTATTATTGTGATGGAGTTTCCGAAGACGATATTAAAACTAATTGAGTGTGGTTATTGTCACAACATAGGGAGTTAATTAAGATAATGCAAATCAATGTAAAAGTGTACAGTGAATTGCACAACTTTGAATTTTGATGTGATAATTTTAAAAGAAGTTATTACGAGTGTATATGGTTTATTTGATGCATGTGTTATGTGTTAGGAAGGGAATTATTGTGTAAGTATATGTGACTTGTGGAAATTTTTTTATAGAAACAGTGTATTTGTGTATTAGATGATAATTGGGGATCTGTTATTTATGAATTGGAGATCCGAAGTGATAGTGGGTGTTAGAACAAGGTGTTTAATAACGGTTAGAACACTAGCAAAGAGCATTTATTGCAGCGTAGAGGCCATTGGGAAGTTAGTGGAAAGGTCGTATAAACATCACGTTTGGTGGGACGAACAGTAAATTCAAGATAATAAGGATGGAGCGCGTAGCATAATGTTGGATGAGGAGAGATGAATGGAACGAATAGATGATAACGGACGAAGGAATTGGTGAAGTAATTTTTTGGAAAGTAGGGATAGTGTCAAGTGGAAGCCGATTAGAATGATTACATCCGGAGACTGTTTGATGAAAAAAGGTGGAATTGACGTCGACGCCGATGACCGGCATAAGGAAACCGAAATTCAGGAGGGCCGGGTGATCCCATTAGATTTAATGCAGATGAATGATGAAGATGTTAGAAGAACAGAGCAGGAAGGCGGGAGGAACAGAACAGGAAAGCAGAGGAACCAGAACAGGAAGATATTGGAGGGACAGAAAAGAATAGCATGAAAGAACAAACAGGAAATTAGAAGAACAGAAAAGAATCGCAGAGAACAGAATAGGAAGATATTGGAAAGAACAGAAAAGAATGGGGAAGAACAGGATAGGAAAGCTGAAGAAGCGGAGCGGCAATTAACGAGATGAAATAAGGGGGCAAATAGGAATGTCTTAAATAAACAAATCGAGTGACCAAGAGGAAATGTCTAGGATAGCGGAACGAGTGGAGGTTCATGAACA